AGCCATGAGGGAACTCTCTTCCCACCTCATCACAGGACAACCCACAGCTGCCACAGTAGCAGCACTCCTCCCTCTAGAGAGGAATACGCAGTTGTCTTGAACTTGACTTTGAACAGAACTGCAAAAATTCTCCAAACCTGCTCCTCCTGTCTTATTCTCAATTATTCTAGATGCAACTGACAATCACATCAGTTTCTTCATCTCCAATGGTTATGAATCCCTTGGTGTTATTTTCAGAGCTCAAATCATTTTCTACCTTCTTTCCTTACAGAATGTTATCAGAAACTAGGAGGGGTTTGGTTTTAAGAAATTAGATCCTTATATTTTCTTATGAGTCTTCTAAAGGAAGTTTAGACCAGCCTTCCAGCTCAGTCCTAGGATAAAGCAGAAGTTCCTGTTCTACAAATCTGTATTTTGTGAGGAACGACAGTAACATTTTATACTGATTTCAGAAATGGACTGAGGACTGACAAAATCACTACTTCCAGTCTCTGTATTGTCATCTTAAATTACACTGCTTTCCATTAAATTGTTCATTATTAGAAGATTGCTATCAGACAGCTTAGTAGCTGAAATTGTCCAATACAAATGCAGTCTTCATGGGCCCCAAGGTTTCTAAATGAGAATCAAAACAGTGATAAAACTGTTCCTACAACTTATCCTGCTGTAACTTAAATGCAGTAGTAAAATTAAGCACAATGGCCTCATGCATTCAAGTTTCTTTTTTGAACACGAATTTAAATTACTAGCTTTATCCTTATCTTAGCAGGTATGCAGATATGCTTTTCCAGTCACATTTGGAAAGAAGTGAGATTAATTAGTATCAATAGACAAATTTTAAATGTACTGTTAGTTAAGTCATTTTGCACCAGAACTCATTTATAGCCACTTCCAAAGGGTTTACAAGAAGAGAGTATTTTGCTGTACTAGTTGAACACTTGATAGTCTCTGCTCATTACGTATGAACTACTTTGTTGCTAATGCTATGGCTCTTCACAAAGGGAGTAATATATCAAAATAGTTTACTTCTAATTTTGTCCATTTTCTATAAGAGAGACATAATTATTTGATTTTTATTTATTATAAATGCAGAATTGGACATTATAGAGGGCAATCTGTGGCAATCTGGCAAGCCAATTTGTCTGTAGGTAGTCAACAGTTTTACACGAAGTTCAGTGTTTATGTATAAAGCAAAAAGTATGTTTATTACGGAGAACAGCAGTAAAAAATTTTTGCCTTTACAAAAAAATAATGGCACTGAACATTCCAGTGCTTCTTCTGAGTGTTATGTATGCAGCAATTTAACCAGCAGTAACAGCATTGTCTAAAGTTTTCCTAGGAATAAAAGGATGATAATAAACCTTAAGCTAGGAGGATGACAGAGTTCTTGCCACTGAGCTTGCTTACAGAACAGTCTCCTGTATCCGTCTGCGCTTTGATTGAAGTAGATGTAGAAGTTTACTGACGTATTTAGTATAAATTGACATAGTGGACTAAATTGTCACTTACAATCTGATACCAATGAGCTGCCCAGATACAATGACCTAAGTGAAAATACGGGTCCCATAAAGCAGCCAGGTCAAAAGCAATGGATTCAGAAGAGAGAGACTCCTTCACATTTCAGATTATTTTGCCCTGTCTCATCTGATGACACCTTACCTTTATAGAATACAGAATAGTCCCTTGTTTTTCAGTTATTAGGGTTATATAAATTTTGTATAATTTCAGTGGGAATTTAATCAAAATTGTGTCTGTTGAGGCTTGGTATCATGATGTATATCTCAGGATTGTAGAACTGATTTGATTTTAAACCATGTTCTCCCTTGAGTCTCAATGAATATTTACGTGATCTTATTTTCCCCTTCTAAGGCTACATTAAAAAAAAAAAAAAATAAAAATCACAGAACTGAGCAAACATACTTTTTCCATTCCACTAGAAATTCAACTCTTACATATGTATATTATTTATTCTAATAAGGGATCTTTATTTTCTTGCTATTCCTTCCCATTTTCCCAACTTCTTTTTTTTCTTTTTGCAGTTATGAACAGACCAAATAACTCCCAAACTTTTGAGAGTTAAGCAAAATGTAGCAAATGAACTTAATTTTCACTGCTGTTTAGCATAAGGGTTAATTTTTCATTAGCACTCCCCTTAAACACTTGCATCTCATCTGCACGGTTCTCCATTCAGAAAAGGCTGCCTTTGCCATGTGAAGAGAAAAAATACCAAGTGTCACCTTGTGCCAACACACGCAATCAGCCCAATGTCAGTCAAGGATGGGGAAGCACCAGAAAGTAACAACCCCGAGAAATTACATACAGCTCAGGGAAGGTGCACCTTTAACTACTCAAGGGTGACTTTTTTTTTTTTTGGATCATTCATTAATCTTGTTTCTGATGTACCTACCTGCCTTCCTTAAAAATAGTCCATTGTTCCCATTTTTTTCTTTTTTTTTTAAGCATACCTTGAACTTGAAGTCTGATATATGCCACAGAGGACAAACACCACTTTCAGGGATCCCTCAGAACCTTGTGTTCAAGTGTGAAGCAGCCAGTCATTAAATACTGATGATGCAAGTTTCTTCATGGCTGAGATGCAGCACCTGGCACTTTCGAGTTCCACTTCAAAACTAAAATACTTACATACTTCCTGAAGGTGTTCTGCAGATCACCAGCTGCACACAAAGACTCTAGCTACATATGTTTGAATGTGTGACCATTCTAATTTAAAAAAATGTGCTCTAGAACTTGATACAGTGCTTTGAAACTCTTCCTGCCTCTCTGAAAATTTGACACATAGGTGAAAAAGATAGGAAAACATCAACACTTACAAAGCACTTTTGGGAAGAAAAAACAAAACGAAACAACCCAGAAATGTTAAGTGAATCAGCAGGATAGTGTGTTTCATTGAACTTCATACATTCTGTTGTTAAATGCTTCTAACAGAACTTTGGCACTGAGTTGAATCTCCTAATCTAGGCAAGTCAACAAAGAATTTTGTGCCAAAATTACTAGGTTAGGCTATTGTATGATTAGTTTAAGGACCCAACTTCTGCCCACCATTCAGGCATTTAGTAAAATGAGCTCTACTAAAATAAGCTTGTCCAGAGACATGTCTTGTGATATTCATGCCTAAGTTAAATGGGTCATTTCAAGAACTCCAGCTGTCTAAACAGGAACTAATCTCTCAGTTATCCACACAAAATGATGACAGCATACAGCACCCCTCCTCACAGAAACAATGAACCCATAAATTGAGAAATGCTTAGAAATAGCACTGTGATGATTCTGTGGAAAAGTTCAGGCAGTTAAATTTCCCGAGACCGAAGCGTCTAAATTAACAAAGTTTCAACAGGGTCCATCAGAAAGCAAATCTGTGCAGGACTTCCAAGTATGTATCACTAAGTAACAATATGGATTTCCTTTCTCATTTGGCTACAAGCTTTGCTACAGCCTTCTGTCTTCCATCACCAAAAGCAGAGACTTAGTTTAAATCTCCCTTCAAAACTGAGTTCATGATGCAGGGGACAGCCTCCTTCTATTTGGCTGCCACAAGCCTATCACAAGAGCAGCAGTGGCACTTAGTGCAGGTCTTAACTACTATTCTAGTTAGCATATAAGGTTTTGGTAATCAGTCTTAATTTTTTAAGTACAGAGAGGCTTGGCTTCTTTTCTGTCTTAATTAAAAAAAGGCAACTGGAGATTTCTTCCCGAAGAATAAATAGAATGCTAGGTCAGGCAACAGTCATTTATTTATTGACTTAAACAAACAAAAGGTATCCTCAGACATAACGGCCACCACTTGAGCAATACAAATCAGCGCTACTGAAGAACAGGGAACATCTTTTCTCTCACCCCTCCCATCCCAGAAGTGACAATAGAAATACCAGGGCCCCTAGAGAAAAGAGAAGGAGAAAAATTATGAAAGGTGCTTAGAATGAGCTGCAGAGTTGAAACATGGACACTAAAAATCATTACCTAATCTACCATATCACCACAATCACCTCAAAAATAACTTCAATTGTTCCATTTCTACCAGGTACCAAATATATATTGCTGTTTAACAGCTATTTCCATGTATTAACAACTGTCCTCAGCTGAAGCAGAACAGCAATTACTCTTTATATTAAATTTGAGGCTGCAGAAAGAAAGGTTTCCATAGACTACAAAACAAGTTAAGGAAAAGAGAGTGGGGGAGAAACAAAGCTACTTTTAAGCTCCTGTACGTCTCTATCAAGCAAGCAATTCATTCGGTATTGATAGCTCAGTACAGACACAGTATCAGTTGCCACACTGATAGACTATGGCATCTCTACTCAGCCTGTGACAGTATATCTGAAGATTGTATCTATAAGTCCCTTAAGTTGTGGGCCACTGAAAATCTCAGCCTGCTGCTCCTGTGTGGGTATTTTTTAATCAGACATCAGCAAAAAAGCAAACAGACTGCATGTAAAAAAACCTGTTGCTAAATCATTTAGTCTTCCTTGTAACAGCTGAAAATATGAGTAAGGCATTCCTCAGATTTAGAGACGACATTAGGAGGCTGTAGTTTTGCAGGCAAGGAGACCTTTTATTTTAATCCATTAAAAGAACCCAAAATAGTCAGCAGGTGGCCACATCTATCCATGTTTCATTAAAATCACATAAACCCTAAGTACAAAAGCACCACTGATTATTGCTCTAGAAAAACTGCATGAAAAATTCAAATACGCACAGTAAAAACATCACCATATGCACAAGACTTAATTTCTTAAAGCAAGTGTATGGAATGCTGATCCAATTTTACACATACCTTGCAATATTAAGTTGATATTTATATTACTTGGCAACAACGGGAATTTCTAAAAGCACTGTTATGAGAAGGGAAATGTTCATATACAGTTTAATATGTCAACTATCATAGTCCTAAAAAAATTAGCATTTACAAAATACTTGATAAAAATATCTTTTAAAAGTTGTCCAAGAGGTACATAAAATCAACCCAAAATTTTCATGATATTTCATTCATTCTTGTCACCTACAGATTCAGTTTTCTGACCCTGTGGAGAAGAAAGAAAGAAATTAATTACTACAGTAAACTGCCATTCCATACCTAAATACCCAAACTATCCTTACTCCTTCCATATCTTACTTGCAACAGCTCAGTTTCCAACCTACATCCACATTACATTTGCACAAACAAGACAGGTACATACACACACTTTTCTTTAATTACTGGTCCCAGCTTTTCAAAAGCAATACGAGCCTTACCTGTCAGCTTCCATTGTTCATACTGAAAAGCACCACACTACTACCTGTTCCTATTCACTGCACACATGCTGAATGCTCTACCGTACCCTCAACTTTCACTGTTTCAATCTGCCCTTTTACTGACAGTGTGCTGGGTGGGGCACCTCTGGATGTTGAAACACTAACAGTGGAGCGAGAGATGCGAATCTGCAATAACATTATGGGCAATAAAAAGAAACATTATGAACATGCTATCAATGTCTGAAAGGCTGAATAATTAGAAAAACACTGATTCAATCAGCAGGAGGTATGTGTGGAAAGTACCTCTTCAGCTTTATTTTCACCATTTTCAGATGGTGTAGTACCTTCCTTTGTGGCTTCTTGCTTTTCATCCTTCTTCCCTTTAGCACCTTTGTTGGCCTTTGTTCCAGGTTCCTTCTGACAGAAGATTAAAAACATGGGCATAGACATTGTATGAGTAGCCAGCACCCTACATCTCTTATCAAAAAACCTTCATATGCACTAAAGAGCAAATCTTGGCAAGCTGCATGTGCTAGACTGAAACAGAAACCAGCTAAAGACTACCTGGAAAAATGTATATCCACCAAAGTTATACAGAGACTCTCAAAATTTCCAGAACATGCTGATGTCTGCTTTTTTATTGCTTCTGCTGATTTACAGGGATACAAAACCCCCTCAAACTATTTTGGTAGAGCTGAGCTGTCTTATACAGAGGTATATACAAGGTATCTGTATGAACAAATCCAATTACAGTATACTGAAAGCTTATTCAGCCAAGCACAAACAACACACTGTTTGTGTAACAGCACTGCACTTTCGATTAACATTAAATATTCAATTAGATTTTAAAAATTAAGCATTTCTGTTGGCTGTCCTTTTCCTAGTTTGGTAACATCTGTGATGTTCATTCTATGTCAACGGAAGAACCAACACACTAGGCATGCAAACACTAATAAAATTCTATCTGCAGCAACACAAAGCAGAGAATTTATCAAAAAGAACTATTCTAACAGCTACAGTTTCATTTGGAGATTTGCTTTTAAACAAGTCATATGTTGAAGTCTACTTTTTTTTTTTAATCCTTGCTCTATGTACATATTTATATTTGTGATCTAAGGTTAGTAGAGACACAGGTTAAGGATTTTAAGTGCGATGGAATAAAAAATTAAACCGTATTTAACTGAATATTTTACGTTAGTGTTTAAAGTAGTTCTGATAAACACTGTGGATATCTTCTATGTGATCATTTACTCCAAATTCTCCGTGCAAAATGGCAATAGTAGCTGTGAACAGGGATATTAAGGTCAGCCTCTCTTCATCAACTACCTTTCCCCAGCAGTCCCCATACAGGAGTGGAGCAGTGAGGAGGGACTGCCAGTAACCCCAGTTCCAGGGCAGCCTGAATTACTCCTTCTACCCTTCACCTTCAATGTTACACAGAAGCTGCGGTGCTTAACTGAGCAGCCTATGGGTGATGTGAGTATAGTCCTAACTCCTCACCTACAAAAGAAGCAGCTAAGGACTTGACTTAGTAAATCCTTAATTTGTAAGCTTTTAACACTAAAAATCTGTACTGCCTTCAGTTGTTTACTAGCAGGTTCAGAGTACGCACTTCCTGTTTTCTGTTTAGGACACCAAGATTAATATACTCCTTAAAATGTGATCCAGTTACAGTTTGGAAAAAAAGCCAATTACTCTATTAAATGAAGTTACTTAGAATAACGTACTAAAGGATTCAAGTCATCCAAAATGAGCTTCAGATCTCTCTCATGCTGCTTAGACTGACACCATGACACCGAGCTCATTTCACAACCTGTACATGAAGCCATAGAAGCTAACATATTCCCTTCTTTATTAATACTTTTTTTTTTTTTTTTTTTTGAAGAGGGGAGCAGGGTAGACTTAGCAAGACTTTATTCATAATCATAAAGTGTTCAAAATCATAGAGATTTACTTTCACACATGGACTTTGTACCCTGACACTTGCCCAACTGAGATACCAATAAAAGGACTTGAAAAATGTAAGCGTGAGGAGTGCTAGACTCAGTTTCCAGCACATTTTTTTTTCCTGATAAAGCAATTGCTCTTATTTAACATTCCCCTTGGGCACAAATAAATCTACAGTTTCTGAAGTACATGATTTATATGCAGAAATCCTGAAAAGGTATTTCAGACACTAATAAGATTTTAATTTGACTGTAACTGTCCTAGAAAACCAAAACCATTCAATTTAAATATATTTAATTTCACCTTTAATTATAATTGTGCATTCTCAGCAACGACCAGGCTTCAAGAACAGATAAGAGTTTCTCACTATGAAATGAAGTACTGTCCCTCTAGACAAGGAAACAGGATGTCACAGAGAAATCTCAAATCCTAGTGTAGAAATTGCTAGGTCTCAGGTAGAGCTTACTCAAACAAACCTGTACATTTCAAAAAAGGTGTAGGAAAGGTAAAGATTCTTCTTAAACTAGGAATTCACTACAAACTAACATGGTCTGCATATCAAACAGGCAAGACATTTTGTTTGGGCCAGTAATGAGGCCAGGAAGGGGTGGAACAGAAAGAAAAGAATGATCTAATTTGTTGTTGGTTTTTGTTTTGTTTTGTTTTGTTTTTTTTCCGGGGTCTGAGGGGAGGCAGGGAGCAGCAGGGACAGCAGGGGAGGAGCTGAAGTCTCACAAAAATTCTGTGAATTGAAGTGTTCACAATGTAAAGGAGGAGTATAGTTGCTTATTATTGCCTACAATGATGGCAACTAAAAAGAAGAGTATTTACCTTCGTGCTTTTCCTTGGTTTGGGTTCAGGTTTTGGTGGAGCAGGTTTCTAGAAAACATTTTTAGTCACATAATGTGTTAAGACATTTTACCAGAAGCCAGCCAGCCACCTTCACCCCAGCTTCCCCCCATCCCACACCTTCCCTTACCTCCTGCTCATTAGTATGCATCTAGAAAAAGACTAAAAAAAAACCTGAATGCCCCTCAGCACTGTACACACCCATTATCATTAGCTCACTCATCTAGCAGTCAAAGCAATTTGGGGGTCGTTCTAAGAGTAAAATGTGGAGATGAGTAGTAACTATTAAAAAAAAAAGTGAGATATGTTCTAACAGAGAAGAGGAACTGAAGCCAAACACTAGTAGTGGCATCAAATGAAGGTCCTTGAAGGACATCTCTTCCTCCTTCCCCAGAGAAGCAGTTGCATTTCTACAACTAACATCAGCCTGCAAAACAATACAAAGTCAATACTGCACACAACGGAGTGTTGCACTGAGGTGGGGAAATACATCTTTTGTCAGAGCAACCTGAAACCAAGAAAACACAGATAACTTTAGCTCTAGAGTTCTTAAATATCCCTCAGCAAGAATAAAAACTGAATCAAGCAAAATATAACAAATCTGTTTGGTCTGAGAAACCATATGTGCCTAGAAAGGTATATACCAAGAGGTGCTATGCATACTTACAGCTGACAATCTTGCTGATCGTCTTGTGGGCTACAGAAAAAGAAAAAAAGAAGAAAACATTTTTATAGGCTTACAGCAAACAGTATCCAAAGCAACATAATATCAGTCATTTCACAGTGCCAGAATAAAATATGTCCCTACCAAAATACATCTCTATTGCCAAACACAATTCACATCTTCCTCACCTTAGACGATCAAAATTTTAAAGGGACAAAGTGATGTCAAAATAAGTAATAAAAATTGTCCACAAATTATAACATCTAAATTTCCACATGGTTAAATACTTCCTCACCCCCTGCCATTTTACACCTACTTACGAGTCCCCTGCTGCTCTATGAAGTCCACAAATACAGTAAGCTTGTCCTGTGCACAGGGCACTGAACCTTTCTCATAAATACTTAGAACAATGGCTCTATAATATAGCAGATGCTACTTGTAATAGTGGGTAAAATACCATCTGATTAACAGCAGAATCAAGGTAACATCCTTCCCTAGAGGATATCAGAGTGCTAAAATTTCAAAACATGAAACTAAGTCCTTCCACTTCCTCAGTTCCCCACACACTCAGTTTGAAAGTCCAGGTGCACAAAGACAGCTGCAGGATGAGAGGGAGAAATTGTTTCTTTATTTAAACACAATTCTCAAAAGGAAAGTCAGATATTCTGCTGTCCTCCACCTTTCTTTATCACTTCAACACACCTTCCTTATTAAACTTTATTTCACTTTGTTCTTTGTCAGAAACTTATCACTGAAGATGACTTAAGTCTTAGAAATCATCATCATTAATTTGTTCACAATATTTTTGTATTCATTAAAACAGGTGATTAAAACAGTTATACAGCACGGTTATCAAACAGAGTTCAAGTCTGGTCTCTGTCATAAAACTGGAATCACACTTGTAGCCAAAACAAAGGGACAATGCAACTACAACAAATATCCAATGTAACACAGCTTAAGAATTTAATTTAAAAAAAAAAAAAAATCTTAATTACACATTAAGCTCTTAAGTTGATCCAAAAAAACATGGCTCCACACATCTTGCAACAGGAAAAAGCTGCTGTTAATATCTGAAGAATGAAGTAATTTGTATTCACTGGAGCCATTTAAGTATTCTCAATGGAAAGCAGTAGTGAATAGTTCACATCTGTGTCCAGCAAAATAGAAGTCTTGTCAAAAAACACCTAAAGATATTTTCACCTATCAAATATTTATGCATCATTAAAGAAAAAAAAGTAAATATCTATTTTCTTGGCATTTTAGAATAGTAACTGCCTGTTAAGCAGCCTCGCACTATTTTACAACAGGTTAAATAAAGCATTTCACTTAGTCAGGTAATCAAAGAACTCCTACCTCAAGGCATCTTCTTTTACAAATCTGTTTTCTTAATGGATGTTTTCTACCCCTCAGCATTTGGGCATTGGAATGTTATGTTATCTTCTACTTTTTAAAGGACAATATGTTGTTTTAGGTAAATTATTATTCTCTTCCATATTCCCCAACTGTTCCTGTTCCATGACTGGTTTCGCAGAAGGCTTGCACGCATTGCCGCAAGAAAGTCAGCATAAACCTTAAATTCTTTAAAAATGCCAGACAGGTAAGTAATTTTAATTCTCATTCAGAGTTTGTATGTATTTTGTGTTATCGGATTGTGAGGATGGAACTGCAGTGAAATCAGCAAAGGTCACATTTTAATGTGCTTTTGGAACCCCTGTCACACTCTAAACAGCTGTACTAACCCAGAAACCAGCAGCTCACCCAGCCGCCTGACACTGGCCCACTAGCAAACATCCCAGGAAAGAGCCCAAGAAACGGAGCAGACACAGAACAAGGCTTTGCACTTTCCTCCTGCGCCAGCTTCTCGCAGTCTACAGTTGTGAACTTTCCAAGCTGGCTATTAGATCCACATCATGTGTTTAATAGTCCCCGAGGGTCATTTTCTCCATAAATTGGAATTTCGCCATAAACTTGTCTAATAATCTAGTGAAGCCATTTACACTTTCAGTTTCCGTAGCATCCTGTGATGATGCAATGAGTTCCATAACAGGATTATGCACTGTGTGGAAAACAAAGCAAAGCCTTCCCCCTCTGTTGTCTTTCCTTTCAACTTCTTACTTTCACTAGATTTGCCTTGGGTTTGGGTTACATGACTAATAATTCCCTGACTGCCCTTCTCTGTGTTACTGATGATTTTATCATACCTCTATTGCATAAAAAGTCAAGTATCCTAGAAAATCTGGGTTGTTTGGAGTCGAGGGTTTTTTAGTGTGTGTTTTTTTGTTTTGCTTTTTAAAGCTGTTCTGCATTCTTTGTTTGTCCCACTATACTTGGTATCCTTTTCATTCTATCATAGCCTTTTAAGGAAGAGTCAGGAGAACTTCATTTAGTAGTCACACAGCTGGGAGCATACCACATTACTCTTATGATACACTAGTGTTTCACACTGTCCTTCAGTACTCTTTCCTATATTCTAATCACCATTTGTTTAGAAGAACTGACATCTTCTAGTAACTATTCACTGTGATGTCACAATCACTCCTCTCATTGACAACTGATTTGATGACCACCACTGTGTCTTCCCCTCCCCATTGTGCATTAATTTGCATTTCTCCACATTTAATTTATCTTGATATTTTATCACCTAGTTATCTGTGACTTAACAGCCTTCTCAGTCTCTCTCACTTCTGACTACCCTGATAACTCTTTGTAAGCTTCAGCAAACTTTGTCATTTCTCCAATACCTCTTCTCCTAGATCATTAATGAATATATTCAGCAGCACAAGCCCAAACACAAATCCCTCCAACACCTGACTCAGAATTACTCTCCATTATGAAAATTAACTACTTCTTCCCTACTCTCTTCTCGTATCTTTATCTGTTACCAATTCTTAGGAAGATCTTCCCTTTAATCCATACTAGCTGAGTTTCTTTAAAAACCCACTTGGGGAACCTTATCAAAAAGTGTTCTCCACATGCAAGTAAACTATATCAATCTGCATGCTATCATCCTTACGCTGCCTGACTTCTACAAAGAACTCAACTGCCTGAAGTACGACTTCTCTCTGCAAAATCTGTGTTGACTCTCCCATTACACATTTGTCCACATATCTTATTTATTTATTTATTTATTTTTAAACTAGTTTTGCAAGTTATAGACTCTCAGCCTTTATTTTCCTGAATCTCTTATCTAAAGTCCTGGGAACATTTCATCACCTTCAGTTACTCTGGTACTGAGGCCAATGCAAGCAGTAAATTACATAGTGCACTTCACAGTTTGGCAATTGCTGGTGAATACTGTCTATTTCTCTCTTACACTCAATTAAAGAATGTCCTCCAGACTCTACCCATGAGAAAAGGCTCCACTGTGAGAACCTTCCTAAGAATTCTCCATAAACAGGAATTTCATTACTCTCTTTCAGCTTCATATTTGCCATGATGGAGGTTTTGCTCCTTTTCTCATTATTTTCCATCAATACAAAAAACACCTTTCAAAAATAATAGATTTCCCTTATTTTGCTATTAAGCCATTCTGTGGGGTTTCTCTGCTGTTGTTGCTGGTTTTTGTGGGGTTTTTTGTTTGTTTGGGGGCGGGGGACCTTTGAAAAATAACATGCATTACTGCAAGCCTCTAGCATGGCATACCACAAAGCCTCCCTGCCACCTGAAACCATTATATTTTTTAGCTGCTCCTTTTAATAGGCTCTCATTTCTAATAAAATTCCCTTTCTTGATATCAAATCTTACCATAACAGAGTTTATTTGGACTTACATTCCTGCAAGGATGATGAACCTGAATATATGGTCACAATTACAGAACGGTTCTCTGACAACTGTCTTTTTAACTAGCTCCTACATACTACTGAGGAGCAAATAAAGAGCTGATTATCCTTTTATTGGTTCTTTGATTTGTTCCTCTAGGAAGGAAGGATATATAGTTTTAACTTTTTTGTCTTTGTAATGCCATCCCATGCCTCTTACCGAATCTCTGAAGGGTTAGTGAAATCTCCATTAACACTATTTCTGACCTCAGAGCCTCTCTGATCTTCCTTAACATTCCATTGCCACTTTTTATTATTGTGGTCAGATGATACCTGGCACAATTTCTACGCTACATACTTCTCATTTATGCATGGTTTGGCAATTCATAAAGGATTCTGCTGTTCTTACTGATACAATTAAGCTAGAGAAACATTAAAGACACGTAACAGAAAGCCATTCTACCACTAATGCGACTTAGCTCTCAACCCTGTATAATTTGTGCCTTGGTGTCACAGTGTCCCAACAAGCTTCTGAGTTGCCCATTATATCAATGTCCTCATTTAAAGCCAGAGAGTCCAAGTTGCCCAGATTTAGATTTGCAGCTTTTGTATTTTGGCTTGACTGCCTGTTTTGATAGCCATGAATTAAACACAGCTTTATTTCTCAGGACTGCTCTTTACCCTTCCAGTTGCAGACTTTCATGGCTTCTGTGCTAGCCCCCACTCCCTGCCCCATAGGCAGCTCTGACTCTGTCCTAGGTGCTCTCAAGAACTTGCCAGTCTCCCCTCAGATGTTTAGTTAAAAATAATTGGAAAGATCTCCTCAGCACCATCCACGTAGGTCTGTTTTGGTTCAGACTGAAGCCACCTTTCCTATGTAAATTCTACCTATTCCAAGAGCTCACAGTTTTTAATCTAATCCTATAACTATTTCCCTCATTCACACACTAAAAGATACAGGTGTATCTACTAAGAATATCTTTTTTTTTTTTTTCTTTCCTGTAGCATTAACAGCCACTATTATCTCACCTTGACTGAAGACTACTCTAAGAGCTCCCATATTTCAGAGTCAGCAGGCTCCCTCCAGAGACCCTGTGTATTTCTGTAAGCTTCGTGGTCTTTCTTCTTTACTCTAGCAATCAGTTATAAATTTTTAGGGGAAGGAACTTTTACTTTATTGGCTCTTGAAGAAATAATATTTAAACTTGGACAGAGAAAAACATTCATTCAGAGCAAAGGAGATTATATTTTTACTATGATTTAGTTAGCCTCTTCATACTTTATGAAAAAGAAACTAATTTGTCTTCTAGGAAATTCCATAGGAAGATACTAAGGTATCAAAATCTATTCCTCTCAGACCTCTTTTTTACTTGCTTGTTTTTTTCCAGGAGCTTATTGTAAACTTTACTATTGTTTGAAATATTTTGATGTTTCCACTGTACCATCTTTTTCTGCCAGACTGAGCAACAACCAGCTTCTCAATTCAGAAAGTGTAAAACTTCATTAGACTATTTTTCCTGTTCAAATATGCTCAAAGATTTACAAGAAGAACATTTAATTGTTAATTCATTTGAATATTCACCCATTCTTTTCAAGGTCCTGATTTAACTTTGTCTGCCACAAAAGATGACAACCTAAGAAAATGAATCCTCATAATTCTGTACCTGATTTTTAAATTCATATTAAGGGGTGTGACAAACAAACTAGCAAACTTTACACTGTAGAGGTCAAGGTATCACCAGCTGTCTCCTTGCCTTCTCTGACAGAAGTTACTGTAGCCTTAAAACAAATTCAGACAAAGAAAACACACAAATGTGTCAGCTGCTACAGTTTAGAGACTGGTATCTTAATTCAAGACACCCTTCCATCAGTCACTTAACCTAAGAATAATTTTGAAGTAGACTGGTTGAGGTGCACTCATTAACCCTCTTCTGCCAACCCATCAGAGACAGAGCAACAGTTCCAGGCAGTAACATCCTACACTGTTGCCACAAGATCCACCAGAGCTTGTCTATCAAAGCCCTAAATGTTTCTGAAATTTAGTTTGCATACCAGTAAGTTGTATAAATCCTCAGTACACCAAAACCAAATTATGCCAGATAAGCTACAAATGTGGTTTACTGTCATTCTTCCCACTGAAAACACCTCACTAGAAGTGCCAGAGCAGTGCATAGTCTTCTGATATGCAAGACTGCAGATCTCCAGTTAAATAATAACCTGCCAAAATAATAAATAAATAAATAAATAATACTTGCCTCTTGTTTAGTTACTTTTGCTGCATCCTTGCCTTCAGCACCCTCTGGAGACTGAAAGAAAATATTAAGTCAGTACTTTTATTATAGACTTAAAAGCATCCAGGCAACAGCAAAACAAAGATCATGGTGAAGATTCTTCTTTCTATACACTGCAGCAACTTAAAGAAGCCTGGTAAATTTCTGTTAGTATTTACAAGCAGCACTGTAGCAAAGCCATTCTAGATTTTCCAAGCAAGGACACAAGGACTGATCATCTCCAGGTACATACATATCACATCACACAGCATCCCTCAGTGGTCCCTCTAGCCAATTAATGGAAGCATTCGCAGGCTCCATGGGAGCTCCACCTCATCAGCAGTTGCTAGCACAACAGTATGAACTGGAAGTCAGAGGTTTGCTCTACTAGGGCTTTTGAAAACCCTGAGAAATTTAACACGTTTCTTCCCAAACATGAACCTAGCTAGTAATGAGATGCAATGAGGTGAACAAAAAAACCCCCAAAACACTGCAGTACTGAAATGAGTAATTTCTTTACCTCATTTACTCCTTTTTTGTCTCAGGCTCACTCAGCTGGAAGCTTTAACAGTATCTTTCCCTCATCTCATCTCCTCTATCAGAACAGCAAAAATCAGTAAAACACGAAGGCAGTGACAGGAAAGCTAAGGGCAAACAGGTTTCTTCACAAGAACACAGGATCAACCTGAGCATTCTAACATTGGTCTCCCAGGGGTACTAGAGAAACTTTAGTTAAACCACAGAGCAGGGGGAAATCAAGCTTCTGTCTTTTGTTTACAACTCAAGATGCGTTACTTCACATTTTGCAAATGACTGGGTTTCCACCTAGGAGCAAGCAATTAATGGAGAAACAGTGAACAGCAGCAGTTAGAGGAGAACCACACGAACGGCATGCGTGTCAAAAAGGCATTTAACAGGCAGCAGAGAAGGCAACTAGGTTGCTGTTTTGTTTTCAAGTCACTGAAGGAGCAGGATATTTATCTTTTCCCTTGTCTTTCCATTTCAATCCTAATCCAAATCTCCCCCCAGGTTTTGACAGAGAATGTCTTGGAGTTACACAGTTAAGGTTTGGAGAAGAGAAAGAGACCGGCTAGTCTGCAGCAGTGGACTGCTGCCTTCTCCTGGCATTGGGCTCAAACATACTTGCAGACAGACACCCCCCACCAGAGAATAAAACCTGGCTTTGTTACTGTGTGCTCTCCTGACAGAAAGGAAGCATGCCACAAAAGCAGCTGGTTTAAAAAAAAGGCAAGGACTGATCATTTAAGTAGCTCGAACAGCAGGAAGTTAAGCAGCACTGCACAGAGCAACACTCAGAATAGCAACGGAGTCAGGCAGCCAAAATGGAGCCGGACTGTTCCCTGCGCTGCTGCAGCCTCGCCAGCTGCCTGCAGGATCGCGTCAGGTTTGCATCCCTCAAAGCCCTTCAGTTTGGTTACAAAAGAGTTGCTGCCGCTTGATGGTGTGATTCTGGAGTCATCAAAAACCATAAGGAAAGCAAAACCAAGTAGTTCCATGATGACTGTCAGTAACAAAGTCTTGTTTCCTGCAACTTCCCTCTTCAGCTCACACGCTCCGAGCACAGCTTTTCTGTAGTCCATGAAGTCATACTCTCTGTTTCTCCTATATTAATTTTCCCAAGTCCAACAAACTTGCACTGCACCCTTTCCCTGGGAGGGAACTCCAATAGGTTCCTTTCCATCCTGGGCACCTGTTTATCATATAATCATAGAATGGTTTGGGTTGGAAAGGACCTTAAATATCATCTAGTTCCAACCCCCCTGCCATCAGCAGAAGTTCTCTCAGGGTTTTACAATCTTTGCCTCACAGTGGCCAAGAGGCTCAAGATTTACAGGGGCAGGGACAGAAAGACAGCGTATTTCATTTCCTTCAGAAGCCAGGCTGAAAAACTCACCATAAACTAAATGACGCTGACTGACACTCCACAATTGGGCTGTTTTGTCCTGCTTCACTTTTGGGAACCACCGACCTTTGAAATAGGGCTAAGTCATCACAAGATGGCACTGCCACATGCCAATAGCTTTGCAGTAATTGCCCAGGAGCAACCCTCACCCTGAAATACTGCACAGTTAACACACAGTAATTTGTCCCATTCTCTCTAGCACCAACGGAAGAGAAGTCTCCAACACTTCTGACAGACAAGGCAGCCTGACTTTAGAGGCCAGTATTATTGTTTGACAACAGATTTTAAAAACTGTTCATTAAGTTAACCACAGGGCAAATAGAAGTTGTATTAAAAGACTCTTAACGCAACCACAACCCACCATATGCCACTATAACATATTACACAACATACTTCAATTAAGTTAGCTAATTAGCCCAGCATTCCCTCTCAAATTCAAAAATCCAACTGCAATTCTGAAGGCCACATAACTTTCTCCATGAAGGGAAGTGCACAGTCATCATCTTAGAGGTGAGAATAAGCAGCAAGGGGTTCCGACACACCCTCCTTCCCCTTTCAGACGTGCTCCCTCCCCTCTGCAATCACTACAAGTCCAGGCGCTCGGAGGCTGCTGCACTCATCCCCTCCCAGGGCCTTGGCTCCCCAGTACGTTGGCAGAGCTGCGTGGGAGGCCATGTCATGAATAAGGTAATTGATCCAGCTGAAAAACAGCCTGCTGCTTAGACAAATTTCTAAATATTATAAATATATATACAAATGATCAACATATAGTCTTCCCTGCGCCAGCAGAATTATTTGACTGCACAGCTGCACAAACAATGGAGCCGGTACAACAGACGAGAAGTGGCACGGGGCAGTCGCAAGCAGCCTGGGACTCTTTAAGCTATAGGCACACACACACATGAAGTACGTCAGACAGGGCTACAGGATACTTGTTAAAAGAGGAACAGAAACTTATTTTCTCCTCTGTGAGTCCTGCTTAGACATTTCAGTGAGTCACAGCTGATGTGGATCTTCGTACCAGTTTTTGCAGTACTTTCCCCTCTCCCTAGGGACCAGAGAGATTTGTACACAAATGGATGTGAGCCAAATATAGTTCCCAAAGAACTTGGCATGCCACAGGCAGCAACTGTCTGCACTAGTATCTGGAAGTCACAGGACTTTTATGCAGATACCACCAAAACTTTAAAGTCCTTGTGCCTAATTCTTCCACGGGAACCCTTCCCCCATCTTTTGTCCTGGTGACAAACTACTGAAGGCCCTCTGGTTTCAAAGCAACCAAACAAACTAAGCAACCCATCCCCTTGGCACATATTTCCCCGTGACGTAATGCTGTGGCTCACCCTATTTCACATGACACCCCACTCACACTGAAGTGCACCCTGGATACTGTGCCTTATATCGTAAACTAGTCAGGAGCGCGACCGTCCGCACTGCAAGTTTTGTGCTGCAAAATCAAAGACCAACACGAGCACTGAATCACTTGGCAAGGGCAGTACTCCAGCCTCAGTAATTCTTCAGCTGTACTCCCATCATATGCCCATATTATACTCATGAAGTAGCCCCTATAGGCCTGCTGTGCCTGATACTGTATGGATGCCTACAAGAAACACGACAGATAAAACAAAAAAGTAAATAAGGACACAGATAATAGTGATTTTTAAATTTTTTCCCCTCTCTCCAAATCATAGAGGTACACAGAAGAAAATGGCTGGCTAACTGGCTAACTCTAAACATGCTTTTGACATTTAAACTAATAGCAAGTTTTAGGTTCAGATGACCATACATTGTGTCATATTTCAATTAGGACTACGTATTTGCAATAATATTGTAAATTAAGCTTTACCTAAGCTTTGTAAGATCTGTCAGAGCTGCATTAACTTTTATACCACAAGATTAACCCGGAGGTTGCAAGATTTCCTATGTCTGTCAGCAATCAGGTTTGTTTCTTGGTTGTTTTTTTTTGTTTGGGATTTTTTCCCTCTTTTTCCCTGTCCCTTTTTAAGGATAACCTAGAAAATTATTTTGAGAGGACTGGAAAAAACCCCAAACAATATTAATAGATGATTGGGAGCATTAAAAAAAAATAAAATTCAAAGGAATGTTAAAATGGAGTTTGTTTACATACACCGTTCTCACATTTCACCACCTGCAAAGTACACATAAGTACTGGTGTTTCCACACACCAGGACAACACCATGGTATCTGCAATGCCAACACCATTACAGAATTGTTACGTTGAAACCAGAAATCTAGATAACTGTTTTAAGGAAACATTTAATAGAACACACAGGCAAACTGCCTTTTAAAATTGTTCTTAAGGCTGGGTCACCTGGTAGAAATGCACCACAAAAGAAACAAAAAGCTTCAATTTTTCTAATCAAAACCCTGCAATATAAGCAGGATGTAATGAGAGCACGACAACACAAAGTAGTGAAGTTATTGATGTCCGTCTGAGAGAATCAAAAGTACATGTTTGAACTTGTTGTGACCGACCAGCTTCTGGATAAATTTTTTGTTTGCACAGGAGTACATTAAAAAGCATGAAGAATGAGAATACAAGTATGTGAGAAGTAACAGTCAGTAGAGAAAGTTGCTTATAAAATTAAATAGATTGTTCATTCTCTGAAGGATCTTGTTACTAGCCGAAACTCAACACCTTGGCTCTGATGGGGCTGAAATTAGTCCTTTCATACCCACGTGAAAAAAAATGAAAAAGCAGATGCCACTTACATTCTAACAACCGTGTTCAGAAGTGAGAAAGGCAGAAAGCCTTAACTGTCCTAGCACCTGAGTATTCTTTGTAGTGCTTCCTCCCTTCTTTGCAATCTCCAGCCACATCTCGATACACTGCCTGCAATGGGATTTGCCTGTAGATTCTTTCCTGGCTGGCTGTTCAAGCTGCAATTTCCATGATGTAATGCTTTGGTCTTTTCTCCAATAGCTTTTTTCACCAACCAAAATACAACAAAAACTTGCAACAAAACCACAGTGTAAGAAAAGAAGATGTATCAAGTCCTAAGCCTTTTTCAGGGTTTACTGCATTATTTTCCTAAAATTTTTCCTCCCTTCATTTCCCTTTAGAACTCTGCATTAGGCTAAATTTAATTCAATGAATTGTTTCCCCATACTTGCCAGATCTTCTAATTATTTGTCTTCAGAGCAGCTCTGAATTTTGTGTCAGTTCATAAACGTAATTAAAATGCTGTTTATTTCTTGTTTTCAATTAATGAAGACTACATGTTGACTAATTTAACACCACCCAACTGCTGCAACACCCTTCTAACCATTGTTTCCTTTTTTAGCTCCTCCACCATCTTATCATTAACCTTTGTTTATAGCTAGTTCTTTGATCTGTTTTCAGTGGATAGAGCAGTGCTTACTGCCAAGCCAATGTTAATTCACTCTGCAAGTAAAATTAATTCTCCCTAACAAATGCTTTAAGAAATCAGGTATTCTTTCTATTACACCCCTTTATTTTTTCTACCCAAAGCCTGATCTTGGAAGGGGGGAAGAAAAAAAAAATGCATGCCACTAATTTAAAAAACAAGTAATTCTGCCAGAACCACAAGTGAAGTACAGAATAAATCTGGTTAGTGGCTGGGTTTTTTAAATACTTCTCCAAAATGATACCTGTCTTGCTCTCTTCCAAAAAACTCGAGGGTCATCTTTTTGTATATACTGTATATATATGTATGTATATTCTTCACTTAAAAAAACCAAAACAAAACCAACCCAACACAACCCAACAAAAAAGCCCCTGCTTAAGTATTTATTCAAGTATATAACATTTTAGTATTTTAATATTTTAGTATTTTCTGTTAAGAAGTATTACAATTATATACTATATAATATGTCATTTTTATAATTTAAGTCCCTCAATTTTAGATCAATTAAGAGTAGAATATTTAATTTTCCAGTTCTTTGGGGGAGAATGTCAAGATCAAAGTGCTGAAAAGACAAATGGTACTTAAAAGTTTAAATTTAAAGAAAACATCAATATCACCTGGTAATAATATGCAATTAAGGAGGGAAAAAAAAAAATCAGGGAAAACATTTCTTGATCAAAGTCTCCATTCTTGCTTAGAGATTTAAACCAAACAGAGCGACTGGCTGACATGCATTGCGCTTTCAAAGAATATGTGAGAAAATAAGAATACTGTAAATAAGAATATGGTTATAAACAAAATCAGTAGGTTCGGAAAATGCTTTTTATTAAATTCCTTAATTCTTAACAGGTAACTTCTGCTTTATGCTTTTCCACACAAGACAGGAGACAGAAACCTTAGGCCTGAGGTATTTCTAGATATGCAAAACCAGCCAGAATAAACGCTTTTCCAAAAGAGGAAATTCCTTCATTGTAGATTGAGGTTTTGCTATTCCCACTGAAAAGAGGTCAAAGATTAACCAATATAAAACGCATTTAAATTTGATGAGACATTTTAGATGTCTCACAACTGGTTTAGCTTTTATTTTTCATTCCAAGTTTGTTTCCTCTGTAGTCAAGTTTGGGTTGGTTGTTTTTTTTGGTTTTTTTTGGTTTGTTTTTTTTTTGAGTATGACATCTTCTACCTATAGCAGAGTGAAGAAGAGCAGTTTCTAGAGACTGCAGCTCAGAGTTAAAAAAAACCAGCACTGTAATTCAAAATTAGACAGACAGTTCATTTTTCAGACAGT